TCTGTTTTAGTTTACAGTTGCAGAAAATTAAGCTTATTTAATTCAAGAGTTAAGATTATAATCGGCGCACCAATACTATATAATATTTAATTTAATATACTATTATTATATATTCTACTTTTTTTATTATTTAATTATTATGTTATATACAGTTAGAAATGTAAGAATAATAATAATTGTATTTAATTCATATGGTAGAGTTTTTATATAAATTACATCCATCAGTGAAAGTTTATATTACTTCCTTTCATATCACCATCCATTTTAATTAACTCCGCTTTAGTGCATAGTAAGAGGCGGAGGTGTGAGAGCAAATTGCTCGATTCAATGAATCAAATTTGTTTTAAATTGAAATGTGTTAAAAATAATTTTGAATATATTCAATATATAACTTATCGGACGCACTTACAACAAAATTTATTGCTCGAAAAATGAAGCTGTGCGGAGCCAACCACTTGCAAAGGCAATGGAATCCCCAATGCAATATTGCAAAAACTTTAAAATTATTTAAAATTAATTAATTAAATATAATAAATCACACAAACGTTAAATTTTTGAATGTGAATAGTTTTCCGAATAATTCGAAATGTAAGTTTGAATACCGCAAAAATATATAAGCTTTATTGGGCGATGCCCTTGCTCGTACCGTGGAACCCTAAATTATCGAGATAAAAGTTAAAAAACAAAATGAAGTTGTAAACTTTACGTGAAATTACACTTTTATTTCAATTTGTGAAAGCGGAAATTATTCTGAATGCCGGAAGTGAAGTCAACACATTTCGATTCGGATGAAATTATTGTATCCATACATCGATGCATCGAAACGTGTGTGATGTGTCTCTCGGGCGTGTTGTGCGTCAGTCAGTTCCATCCGTTTGTGCTTCATTGATTTAAGAGTGAGTCTAGTTCAATAAAGCTTACAGCAATTAAAAAATTTTCAATTAAAAACTTTCGCTAAGAAAATTACAAATATTTTCATTGAAGACACATTAAATCCTCTTTTCATTTTTATTCAAAAATCAAAGAAAAAAAATATTGTAACGTTATATATAACCTTTATATTGATTTCATAACCTCAAGATTGGTTTCACAGTGACAATAAACTTTCCTTTTTCAAGCATTTAGTTGAAGAGATGATATTTTACAATTTGGGTCGCTCAAATAATCGCTAAATGTATTTAAATGGTTAAAGTCCTAAATTCCTCTCAATGACGACGTTTATTTTTCTTTTTGTTGGCTATGACAGCAAACTAAACTGTAGCATCTGGAACAATAAGAACTCGCAAATAACTATGGAGGGACCAAAAAGTCACTATATGGCTATATATCTCTATATGAAGATATGTTAAAACTATAATTTATTTGAAAAACTACGCTGCTTCCACATGATTACCAATTATTAATTTTTTTATATGAATAGTGGAATATGAATTAACTCGAAATCCGCTACACTATCCTATGGATGTGCATCATTTCATCTACTGTGAAAGAACCTAGCAAACCCTATTTTTATTCTGAAATCATTTTTTTTTAAATACTGCTGTACGGAATTCTTTTAAGCGACACTACTGGTATGGTAACTTGGATACTCTGACCTCTATGTTTTTAGTAAGGGTTTCAATAGAGAGACCTCTACGTAACATATGTAACTTTCTGACTAAGTATTAGTAAATTTTTCTTTGAGCGCCGTTTTGGATTTTTGTGGAAAATACATGGTCGTGAACTTATCTACCTTACTAAAAGCAATAAAAGTTAATGACTTGCTAATAGATCAGCACTTTTTTTCGGGCTCATGTGTTTGCTTTTTTAGAGGGATTAAAATGTATATAGAATTAGTGAGCTTTTCTTAGCTTAATCTGATGTTTCCAAATTTATTTTTTGACAAAAGTGAGGTTCAGGTATTTCATTGCATCTCGTTAGCTAACATTTTTGATGGCTTACGCGTTATTTTTCCGACTACGCTTCGGGTGACTGATGCAAAATTACTTGTTCTCTGATCAGTAATTTCCATTAATATGTAATGAAATCTATATTGTACAGTATGTAATATTATATTGTGTAATATATAATATTACATTGTATAATACATAATAATATATTGTATATCCCACTTAAAGGCAAGATCCAACAATTTATTGCAAAAAAAATTGGACTGAAATCTCCAACACAAATACGGTTTATTTAACTAATGGTCATAGTTTATTAGTTCATTTATAATTTTATAGACTACAATTATTTTTATTTTAACAAAAATTATTAAATCTTTAATCCGACTCGAGAACTGAAGTATACCTCTATTAATTATTTCAATTTATCAAAAAATTTTTCATTTGTATTAGATATCTATAGATTAGATTATGTATAGGTATAGATTGAATTCTATATACAATAAAGAGTAATAAAATCATGCAATAAATATTAAATAATATTATAAATAACATTTTAAAATAAAAATATAATTAATTAATTAATTTTACAGTTGCTTTATGATTTCGTTCTAATATAACACAACAATTGAATTTGTTAATGAACTTTAACAGCAAATTAACAAAACTTCAAGTTCAAACATACAAATTATATACGGCTTTGAATCAGTTGAGTCAGTTGAATGAACACTGGCTCTATCTTCAAATTTAGCAGGGCATGAGTTCAACCCTTGATAATTGCAGTCTCAAAAAATTATTTACGAATAATTAAATATAATAAATAATTAAACAAAAAGACCACTGATGATGGCTATTTGGCAATATTCGAAACAGTTGTATGGTCAGCCAAAAATTCAATTAATTAAAATTAATAAAAATATTTGTTGTTCCAATTCACTACTCTTAAAGGTACCTCTCTATTGAAAACAATAGTTAATATTAATAATCTTGTTTGTTTTCTCAAACCGGACGTTAAATATCAATTTAATATAAAAGTTTAATAACAAATTTTGAGACCAATTCTTTTTTGATTGCTGGTCAGATTAAAATCAATAATTTAGTGTTGTTGTAAGTTCTCTTTTTGTGAACTGTTTCTGTTTTTCAAAAAGGCTTCTACTTACCTCTACATATAGAAATATCGCCGACATTTCGAGGCTTGTGTGACTTCTTCCTCAGTGCGGAGTATTATTACAACTGTTTTTGAAAACATATAAGGCGGTCATAAATCAATAATATTATATTAAATAATATAAATTAAATAAATTACATAAATATTGATGTTTTTACATTTTATTTTCTTTTTTTTTTAAATTTTTGCAATATAATCCTATTAACTTTGAGTCCTTATTCACTATGTACATATATACTAAATCCTGAATGTCCTTTGTAATATCATCAGTGCAAATTCCGATAAACAAACTGAAGCTGAAATTGTCAAGTTTTCATGAATGCAGGATTTGTGATATATTAATGTTTCATATAAATGTCGTTATGGTAAAATTTTCTAGCTTAAGCATTCATTAGGATCATCGAATTAAAGCTACACACTCTCCGATTTGGAAATGTTTGTTCGTTTGAGGACATGAAAACATTTTTGTGCAATAAATCACATAAAATATGCACTAAATGATAGCTGGGACACTAATTCATACTTCAACACTACCAACTCCAATTCCAATTCCAACACTGGCATCGCACTGTACTTTCTCTACCACTCACACGTTTAAGCTCAATCTCGGAAAATTCCGCATAAATATGAATTCAATCCAGCGATTTGGTGATGCGTGTCCTTTCCCTTTGAGAATTCATTTCCCAACATTTTGCGAAATGTTGATATGAGTTAATTTTATTTAAATGCTCGCTTTTCAAATAAATGAAAGTCTGGTGGGCTGAAAATTTGTGAAAGAGGCAGCAAGAGGCAGCAAGAGGCAGCAAGAGACAGCAAGAGCCACCACTTTCGGAGGAGGAGGATAGTCTTTTGTTCTTATAAAATTTCCTGGCTTTTCTATATGAAAAGTTAATATGAGTTTTACGGGTGAACGTATTATATTCAAATTTGCGTATATTAACGAGTTTAAAACAATATCTGTTTGTTTGTTTGTTTGTTTGTTAGTTTGTTTGTATATTTGTGCAATTGTGTGAGCAAATATGTATTGCTAACTTGTTTGTTTATTTGTTATTTGGTTGCCTTACTTTTGTGTATTATTGAATGAATGATTTCGCATTTACCAGGACTTTAGGAAACTTA